TCCATCCCCCAGTTACTCCATTCCCCACCCCTCCAGCAGCCCTCAGTTTGTTTCCTATGATTAAGAGTCTCTTAATCCTATGAGAGTCCTATGGTTTGTCTCCCTCTCTGATTTCATTTTAATTTTTCCTCTCTTCCCCTATGATCCTCTGTTTTGTTTCTTAAATTCCACATATGAGTGAGATCATATGATAATTGTCTTTCTCAGATTGACTTATTTCTTTTAGCAAAATACCCTCTGGTTCCATCCACGTCATTGCAAATAGTAAGATTTCATTTTTTTGATGGCTGAGTAGTATTCTATTGTATATATATATATACCTATCACATACTAGGTCACAAATCAGGTCTCAACCGGTACCAAAAGATTGGGATCATTCCCTGCATATTTTCAGACCACAGTGCTTTGAAACTTGAACTGAATCACAAGAGGAAATTTGGACATAACTCAAATACATGGAGGCTAAAGAGCATCCTTCTAAAGAATGAATGGGTCAACCAGGAAACTAAAGAAGAATTTAAAAAATTCATGGAAACAAATGAAAATGAAAACACAAATGTTCAAAACCTTTGGGATGCAGCAAAGGCGGTCCTAGCTTTAATATTTTTAAATGCTAAACTCTTAAATTTAAGCTTTTTAAAAAATTTAATATTTGATGATAATTGCTTCAGATGTCATTTTCAAACTTTAAGGCAAAATGTGGAAATATCATTGATATTCTTGGTTACTGCTCCTCCAGAGGAAATCATCATCCCAAAGTTCATGTTGATCATGTCCATGTGTGTTTTTCTAACTTAAAAGAAAGCGTAAATCTTCTACCTATTAATATAGTCTAAAAACCTGAACTACTTACAAGTACAGACACGACCTAAGCTACTTCTTAAGTTGTGCAAAAAGTAAATCCAGACATAAAGGGACCAGTGGTTAAGTTATTTCATCTTTCCACAGATTAACTTTTCTCCTGGGATAATGATCTTTGTCCTCTCCACCCAACTTGGGTGGGATGAAAACAAGCGTAATAATGAGAACGAGTGTTCTTTGGAAAAAGATAACATGCAAGGTTCTAGCACTTTTATTAATGAATTCCTTATGTGTCTTACTCCCTTCACAAAGTACTAGTTTATTTTATTTGTCCTCAGACAAAGTTGAGGGAGTGGCTACATTCCTACTGAGTAAGAGCTTTCTTTCCTAGTTTGATTTCATAAACTCCCATTACGACCCTTCTCAGCCTTTGTCTTCCCAGACAAAGAAGTAGAATGGTTTTCTTCTTTCCCCCAAAGAAAAGCATTCTATTACAATTTTTGTCATTGTTCTTCTAAACCTCTTCTAAGTCTGTTATATCTTTCTGGTGCTACAGTAACCAAAACTGCCTGCGGTATGACAGGTGCAAATAGTTCTGCGATTCTATCCTATTCAAGCATTTGCCAAGCATAATAACATGTAAGTAAACAAAACAAAACAAAACAAAGCAAAGCAAAACCCAACCTTATCAAAACCGCAATGAGCTCCCAGCTCATACCCATTAGGATGGGTATTATAAAAACAAAACGCCAGGAAAATAACACATGTTGGCAAGGATGTGGAGAAATTGGAGCCCTTGTGCACTGTTGGGGGGAATGTAAAATGGTGCAGTTGTTATGGAAAACAAGATGGAGGCCCCTCAAAAAATTAAAAATAGAGTTATCAAATGATCCAGCAAATCCATTTCTGGGCATTTATTCCAAAGCATCGAAAGCAGGGTCTTAAGGAAGTATTTAAATACCTATGGTCATAGTAGCATTACTTACATAGATTTATAATAATCAAAAAGTGGAAGCAACCCAAACTTATATTAACAGATGAATGGATAAACAAAATGTGGTATATACCTACAATGATTATTATTCAGCCTTCAAAAGGAAGGGAATTCTGATACATGCTACAGCATGGATGAGCCTTGGGGATGGGTATTAGGCTAAGTGAAACAAGTCAGTCACAAAAAGACAAATACTTTGTCTTTGCCGTAAGTGGTATAATTCCACTTATATGACGTACCTACAACAGTCAGATTCATAGAGGCAGTAGAATGATGGCTACCAGGGACTGGGGTTATGGAGAGTTATTGTTTAATGAATACAGAGTTTTAATTTTGTAAGATGAAGTGTTCTGGAAAACGGTTGTAAAACAAAGTGAATGTACTTAAAACTACTGACTTGCACACTTAAAAATGGTTTAAAGATGGTTAAAATAAAGAAACAAAAAAATACCCAACTAAAGTCTAGAGCAGTTTGGCTCAAGAAGGATTATGAGAACATTACAGAAGGCTAGGTAAAAGTCTCCATCAGACAGTGTCCACTACCAAGAGCACAATTGTTTGGGCAGAAGAAGGAGGTCTTTTCTGAAGTATTTACCCCATGGTTCACTGTGGTTCATCACTGTGTTCTGCCAATGAGATAATAAGACCCATCTTATGCTTCTATTCTCTCTCTTTCAGAACCTAGAACATTACTATGCATTTACGGTTTGCTTTTAGGAAGGCCTCAATAAATATGTGTTGGAGGACTGATGGAAAGCATCATGGTTAAATGTTAGCTGTGGAGACCTAGTCCTAACATGGGTCCTAGTTTCACCATTGACTAGTTCATCACCGCCTACATGACTTCTCTAAGCCTCATTTTACTTCTGTAGAAATTAAAGAGAGTAAGAGCATCTACTTCATAGAGTTATTGGGAAGATTAAATGAATAAATGCTTGGCATCGTGTCTGGCTAGAAAATCAAGGAAGGAGATAGGGGCAAATACATAGGAAACAACTGGGTTGATTGAACCTATGAGCTGTATCCATTATATCCACATGCTTCCCCTTAGTGATTGCTCAGGAAATATTTACCGGATAAATGAAGTAATTATAGGGTGAAACTAAAAGATGAAATTTTGAATTCTGTTAAAAAAATTTGTCAAATGACTCCTTAATTTATTTTAAAGATGAGGGCTATATATTGAAGAGGTAGATTACCACAGATACCTGTATTCACTTCTGAGAATTTTGTTAGCTTTTTCAGGCCCCCATAGGTCCACTTCAAATTTATTTAGCATATACTATATTCCCGTCATGGTCCCAGTATCAGGAATGCAACATAAATAAAACACTATCTTGCTCTCAGGTCAGTGGAAGAGACAAGTATGGAAGCACATGATGGATTAAGGGCCATGCTGGAGGCATGTCCAAAGTGGTAAAAAGGAAAGTTCTATCTACCCTGCTGGAGGGGAGAATGGTTTTGGTGAAGAAAGACCCCCCGACCCCCCCAGGACAAGGCATTTGAACTGGGCCATGAAGAATAGGTAGGGCTTCTCCAGGTGGAGAAAGGGGGAGGGGAAAGACAGAGGAGACAAGATGTACAAAGGCATGAAATATAGGTGAGGGAGATGAAACCACCAGACACCTTCAAGGCAGCGTGAGTCATTTATATGAAGCACTGAGCAAAAGTGGGGGAAAAGGGAATAACCTCATAGAAATAGGCAGGGGCCAGATGGCCCAGAGCTCATTTGCCTACGGAGGAGAGTTGCTTAATCCTCTTGCCAACGGGAAACCATAGAGTGTTTTAAGCAGAACAGACCTGATCAGACACTTGCATGATAACTCCAGTCATGGAGTGAAGAATAGGCAAGAGGCACCGAGACTATGGGGGACAGGTGGGTCAGTTGACTAATCAGTTAGAGAAAAACTAGAGACAAGAGAATGGTCTGGAGATCTTGGCTGTAATGAAAGGGACAGATACGAGAGATGTTAAGGAAGGTGAATTCAAATGTGTTCACCTCATTTTACTTGCTCCATAGATAAGCGCAAACTAAAGTACAAGCTACCTGCGTACTAAAGTTGTACCTCCAAGACCTTATCCGGGCATGTCGCCTGAAAATCAATACTCTTCTTTAAAAAGTAAAGGAAGAGACAGCAGACTCTGCAAATCAACTTCAACAATTATTACCTGCTGTTGGTTTTTAGTGCATGTGCTTCCAGCTAAACCCAAGGGGTTAACTTTGCTGGGATTCCATGACTTGGTTTCAAACTGGAAATTAAAGTCCCGTTCCATGGAGACCAGGTTCCAGCATGGAGGGTTTTATCCTCAAGAACCCTAGCCTTCGGAGCTCTGTAAGGAAGCCCAGCGTGCTCGGCCAGCACTAAGTCTAAAAGATACCAGGTTGAGTGCGATGGGTAAGCCCAGCTGAGCGATTCCTGAGAGCCAGGAATTTGATTCTAGGAATGAAAACGAGTGCTGGTGACAATTTGTAAGGATGAGCTTTTCTATCTGTCCTAAGGTCCCGTGGAAGATCATAACAGCCAAGACCATAAGAGCTGGGCCATTAAAGAAAGTGAGAAGATAAGAAATGGAATCAGATGGTACAGCAGCTCCGCTGAATTTGGCAGGCTTTCCAAGTGTTCTGGAATGAACCCACGTTAGCTAATTCTTCCAAGAAGCATCATCTCCAAGGTGGTAGTAATGAATTATCACCAGAAGATACATAGAATACTGTAACGTTCAATCACCTAACAATTATCACAAGCTGTGAATATTTCATTCACTTTAATAATAATAACTGTTATAAGAGAATAATAGTATCTATGTTCATATACACTGCATAGAATTACAGCTATAAGCTCATACTCTTGGAAACAATTTTGCCCAAATATTTAAAACATTTCTTGATCAAGAGCGTCCAAGGTGCACAATCGAATCCTTGACTTCTATAGTATTCATGCTTGCTCTTTTTCCTCTCTCCTGCTATTATTCTAGGACCCTCCCCAGACTGTTTCAAACACCTAAGACCAGAAAAGTAATGTTGAAATGAAAACCGAATGCCTTATAATCAATACAAGTTCATTTTATAAACTCAGGTTGCTGGTTAAGATCCTCCAGTTAAGGACCAACCCCCCAAATGTTCACTCAGTGTTACTGATCGTGCGGAAGGTCAGCAAATCATTTGAGCAAAAGAGACTAAGAAGTGAAAAACCCAGTGTCTCACCCAGCTCCACATCTTGATCATCAGTGAGCACAAGAATAATGTTGGGTCGGATGTTTTTTCGCTCCTGCTGAATCCGTCCTCTGAACCTCTGGGATCTGACAGTCGAACAGAGGCTCCCCAGCAGCTCCGTGCCCAGGACAGCCAGAACCAGAGCACAGCAAGAATACTTCATTGTGTTTGGTCCAATGTCGCGAGATCGACAGACTGTCTCAGCCTCCTGGTTTCTGCAGGTCTGGGCAGTCGGAGAAAAAGAGAGAGGGAGAGATGAAAATGACATCCAAACCCCAAACACAGTTGCAGAAAAAGGGCTACAACAAAGTGAGATCTGGCACGTGAACTGTTAGAGAGAGGGCTGCCTGCGAGTCAGACGTGGCCAAACCCTCCCAGGCGCTCGGGAGGTTTTTAAGCACCTGATTATTTTGCAAATTCACTTTTGCCCTTTCTTCTCATTCCAACTTTTCCTATTTCAAAATTCATTGCCAAAACAGAATTTCCAACACAGAGCTCAAATGTAAAAGCCTTCTGACAAGAGCTAATACCTTGAATTAGGTATCCTGGTTGAAGAATCAATTTCTGTACTCAGAGGTATTCAGAACATCGGCAGATGGGGTCCTAGAGGGGGAGAAGAAATACAAAGGAAACGTCAGTCAGGGTTTTGATACAGATTTTGGTCTGAAGTAGTCTCTCAAAACAGCATACACACACACACACACACACACACACTCCATATTCCAAAAGGGAGAAACAGGAGAAAACAATATTCAGAGCTGCTAACAAATGACTCAGAAAATATCTTCATTTCATAATCAGCTCCTTAAAGTGGTGACACGGTACCATCCTTGCTCACACTCTGCCAGTACTTGAAACATTCCCCAAAAAACTCATGCTTGACCAGGAGGCGCCCGCAGCACCTGCGAAACCACAGTGGGTTTGGGGAGTACTTGCATCTGGGAAGCAGCTGGCGCGAGGGGGCGCGCTGGGGGAGCACTGATTCACCTGCATAGATACTGAGTACTTATCAAGCAGAATAAAATGCAACGCTGTCATTTGTCATCTGCATTATGTCACGCACTACCCTGCGGAGTTCTTTCTGCTGACAAAGACTTCATAGTAAGCGACTGGGAGGGCAACCTTTCCCAGCCCCCGAAAAGCTCCTAACTGTCCTCCATCAATCACCAGGGGGAAGGGGTGCTTCCTCGGGGCGAGGCTTGTCCCTCTGTCCCGCCCGTGTCCTCAGCACGCCAGCGCCTAAGGGGGCAGAGCCCTCCTTCAACTGTCAGCACCAGCCTCACTCTCGCCAAGACCTGGCGCGGTGCCACCAGCGAGAGGTTTTGCCACAGCACATCTAAACCTGCAAAGCGAAATGATTGATTGGCTCTGAAGCTGGAGGGTAGAGGCTCCCTTTCTACGTTAAAAAATAAATATATAAATCAGATCTGGAGGGGAGTGCTGCAAAGTCTTTGCAAATGTGCCCAAGAGGAGACTTCTGAAAGGGTTGGACGAATGCCCCTTTTACTTTAGAGCACTAACCTGCTGAAAGCGTTTCTCTTGGACTTCTGATCGCAAAGGGCTCATTAAAAAAAAAAAATCTTTCTCTTGGATGTCATGAGGGAATGTCTGTATGGGAATTTAGGCCGCGCTAAAATTAGATAGCGGCCCACTTCGTCAGGCACTCTGTCCCCACACACCTGAGGGTCTGTATTTTGAATTGCAACAATAAACTGGCATCAGATAAACAAGCAGAATGAATCAAGTGGGAGAACTGCAAGTCAGAAGAAAAGGGACTCCATCGCTCATTTCCATGCCTTAAATTCTGGAGGGTGACATGGGGCAGTGGGAGAAGAAAGAAGAAAGACTGTGGACTGTTTACTCCAGCCGCACACATTATTTTGTTTTACACAAACACACACACCCCTATTATTTTAAACTTTATGAGCTGTTTTGTAAACAGTTCTAATGCTTTTCACTCTGCAGCCTGTAATTACTTTGAGAGAGAGAGAGAGAGAAAGAGAGGGAGGGAGGGAGGGAGAGGAGGGGAGACGCACTCTGTAAGAAATAGATTTTAAACAAAAATCTAGTGCCGTAGGAAGGCAGAGCATCAAACCAACCACCTCCGATGGATCCTGTGGTTCTGCGAAGGTCAATATGCAAGGTTTGGGGGGCGGGTTGTTTTTTGGGGTTTTTTGGTAATAACCCAGGGTTATTTCGGTGATTGCTGTGCATGCTGAACACTGAAAGCCAGCAATTGTTCTGCGCTGACTGGTTTCTGTGCATTTGTTTCAAATCGTGAGAAAACTGATACGAGCAAGAAAGACAGGAGAAGGAAAGAAAGAGGTCAAACAATGGCTGTCTCCCGCAGAGCAGCATCAGGCTCAACAGTGACACGCAGACATTTCTCAGAAGCGTGGTGCTTTCAGTAGCAAGAGTTTGCTCACCTCTCAAAGCCTGCAAGGGTGTGTGAAGAGGGAGTGAGCAGGAGTCTCTTGCGCCGGCTCTAGTCATGAGCCCGCTTCTCTGCTGACAGTAGAGACCCGGAAAGTTCAATATCCCGGTGTCGTGCAAACAGTAGCCCCGGCAGTTTAAATAATCAGCCCCACACGAAACTGAAAAAAGTCTTCACAATTAAGATGCTGATAACATTCCCTGGAACCCAATCAACATTACTGGTTATTCTTTTCTTTATCTTATTTACTTTGTCTCTTCCTTTAGGAAAAAGAAAATTAGCCCTAATGGTACCTTGAGTAAACCACATTGAACTACATTGAAAAGCATTTCCTAATGAAGAAAAGGGAGAGCCAAGTAGATGCATTTTTCTTTTTTCCTCTAACGTGACCTTCCTTAGAGAGTTAAAGATGCAGAAAAAGCCTACATTTTTTTTTTTTTTCCTGCCACAGTTTATTATCGATTCAGGGAGTGCATATGTAAACGCGGAGAAATGGGATGGTGTAGAAAACCGGACTTTCAGACAGGTCTGACCAGCAGAAGTGCGCTATCTTTACCCCATCTCCCTTCACTAAGACACAAAACACACCACTCTGAAAAACCTGTACCCAGACAATTCCTTATTCAAAAATGACCTTTTAAAACCTGTCATCCTCTCACTGCCTGGTTTCCAGCTCCAGAAGGAAAAGAAGTAAGGAAGAAGACGAAAAAAAAATTGACAGACAAATACAGAACTTGACAAAGGAGACAAGGATGCAATGTTTGAATTGGATACTTTGTGGCGGACGACAAGTGTCCTTAGAGACTAACAATTTGTCTTGAGAAACAGCAGAAAATGGGAGAAATGGTAAAAGGGGGTTTTTCTCACACACGGAGAGTGAGCTCGAGGAACGGGGTTGTATTCATGAATCAGGACCAGAATACAAGTTGCCTTTTCTTCAAGTCTTCAAATGAAAACACTAATTGTAGCTATGGCCAGTTGATGTGGAAAGTTTTTAGGGCTTTGTTTAGGGCAGTCAAGCCAAACTATAAAAAAGTTTTTAGGGCTTTGTTTAGGGCAGTCAAGCCAAACTATAAATGTGACATTAAAAGTTTCAAGTCACATATAAAAGGAAAAAAACAGACCAGGGAGACTTCAAGCCAACTGGATGGAAAAGTCTAGCTCACATTTGCTCAATGAGCAACACCCCATATGAAATCAAGATGCTTTGTCCACTGCAGTGGTTCTCAAGGTGCAACCCAGGACTTTGGGGAGTCCATGAGGTCAGCACTGCTTTGATAAGAATACTGACACACTCGCTTTTTTCACTTTGTTGACATTTGCACTGGTGGGTAAAATCACTTTTGTCCGAATAAAAGGAGCATCACATATAGTTCAAAAAAAAAAAAAGCCAGTTTCATTCAAGATGAAACAGTAAGATGACTAATTGTATTAAATCCTGACCCTTGAACACACATCTTTTTCTTTCTAATTTTGTTATATGAGAGAGGAGGTACATGTAGAGCTCTTTGTTGCCCACGGAGATCGGATGATAGTCGAGGAACAGCACTTGTGTGACTGAGTCGCAAGCTCCACTAGACACTGCTTTTGGCTCATGGGACATTAGTTTTACTTGAACGAATTATTTGGACTTGGGTATTTGGCAGACATTTCTTAAGGGATAAATGAAATGAGATTGTCATTTCAAGGAAAACAGCTGACAATATTTGTTGTATTTGTTGCCAATGATAGAAATCTAGCTTCCAAGCTAAACTCAGAATTTTGGAAAACTTGTATCCGCCACCACGAACTTGACAGCTTCCCAATATGTAAAACCTTTCAATGACATTGATGTTGATATTAACAAATGTTATTCTTTATATTGAAAAATGAAATGTGTCCACATTTAGCATATTTGCATATTTCAGTGAACCAATATTTCTCAAATGACCAAATAAAATGCTACAGAATCATACATCAGCAAAAAAAATTTCAAAGTGCAAGATGACCATTGGATTTTAACAGAGTATGAAAGCTCATTGATGGGGTTTCAGATTACTTACAACAACTAATCTTTACGAAGTCACCACTTGTCAAGTTTTGGCATAGTATCTAAGGAAATCTACAAGTGTTTGAAAAAACCATCAAAATACTTTTCCTTTTCCAACTACTTATCCATATGAGGCTGAATTTGATTACTTTATTTCAACCAAACAATATACTTCAACAGATTAAATACAGAAATAGAAGAATCCAGCTCTCTTCTATTCAGATAAATATGTGTAGAAATGTAAAATGATGGCGGGGCACCTGGGTGGCTTTAGTTGGTTAAGCATCTACCTTCAGCTCAGGTCATGATCCCGGGGTCCTGGGATGGAGCCCCGCATCGGGCACCTTGATCAGCTGAGAGCTTGCTTCTCCCTCTCCCTCTGTCCCTCCACCCCCTCCCCCCACTTGTGTGCTCTCTCTCTTTCTCTCTGTCAAATAAATAAATGAAATATTTTTTTTTAGATTTTATTATTATTTATTTATTTGACAGAGAGAGACACATCGAGACGGAACACAAGCAGGGGAAGTGGGAGAGGGAAAAGCAGGCTTCCCGCCGAGCAGGGAGCACGACGCAGAGCTCTATTCCAGGACCCCGGGATCATGACCTGAACCAAAGCAGATGCTTAACAACTGAGCCACACAGGGGCCCCTAAAATCTTTTTAAAAAATGTAAAACAATGCCACTTTAGTTACCAATACTTTTTTGGTTTGGAAAATATAGTTATTTTTCACAAAATATATCATTTAACATGTAATGGATTATTGTTATTTTCAAAAGAATTTAAAAATATTTTAAAAATCCCTCAGTTGTAATTTCTTTTTTTTTTTTTTTAAGATTTTATTTATTTGAGAGAGAGTACTGGAGGGGAGAAGGGCAGAAGGACAAGCAGATGCCTCGCTAAGCAGGGAGCCCCAAGCGGGGCTCAATACCAGGACCCCAAGACCATGACCTGAGCTGAAGTCAAAAGCTTGACCTATTGAGCCACCCAGGCGCCCTCCCCCCGTTGTAATTTCTAATTATCAGTAGCTATAATCTACATAAACAAAAGCTCTTGAGAGTCTTCAGAAATTTTAATAATATAAAAGGATCCTGAGCCCCAGAGGTTTGAGAATTGCTGGCCTAGCGTATACCCGGCACCAT